CTGCTGCTACTGCCACTGCTGCTACTGCTACTGCTACTACTACTACTACTACTACTACTACTACTACTACTACATACTAAGCACATCCCGGCCTTGAAGGAGCTTGTCGTTGGAGAACTCCCCGTAGGTATTGAAGATTTCCGTGCCGGCTGGTATTTCCTCGAAGGGCTCGGGCGTCGAAAGCTTAGGGTTTAGGTTTGGAGTTCTGGAGAAACAAAACCTCAGTCAAAATGTGGGCTGTGCGGCTTGTGACGCCACCCCCTGTTTCCAAGGGCCAGCTTCTGAAAGAGGCACGATGACCAAAACTTCGAGTCCCTGGAAAATTAAGCGACCGAGACACAGTACCTCTATAGATGGGAACCTCGTATCTTAAACCCTCAAGAGCCCTAAACCGTCAACCCGCCAGAATGTTAGGACAGGCTTCGGTCAGGACGTAGATCATCATCTGACCAGATCGGCCGGTACCAGTCTTTCTGCTAGCCTCAGGGTTGAAGTAACAAAAGGGCTTTAACAATTAGAATAGGTCTTTGGGGTATTTGGGCCCCTGTAGTATATGAAAGCTCGAGGTGGTGTTTTACAGTGTTCTGCCTAGTGGATCAGAGCGTGAGTACTTCGAAGAAAGGGCTTACAGGGTTTCTAGACTGTACTTGACCAGCAATTTCAGGCATTCGGGTCCCAGTATTATAATGTTGCTCTTCGAGCCCTAAGCCCTGACTCCCTACATCCCTACGGCCCAAGGCCCTAAGCCTAAGGCCCTACACACCTACATCCCTGAGGCCCTAAACAGTTCACAGTTGAGGGTTGCGGATTAGAACTCTTCGGTTTCGGGAAGAGGTGGGGCCGCAAGGGGAGGTCCGGTGTTCATCAGGGCTTCGAGGGTTTCGGGTTCCGTGTTCATGGGTTTAGGGGTTAGGGTTTAGGGGTATTTAGTATTTAGGGTTTCGGGTTTTCCGTTTGGGTTTGGGGTGTAGGGTTTGGGGCTTCAGGCTCAGGGTTTGCATGCCTGTATTGACGACGTAGCAAGAACCATTTGCTTAGTCACACCTGGTTTTGATGGAAGCGTTGCAGCGAGACTGTCTTCAATAGGGACCTTAATAATCGAAGGGGCTTTAATTGGCACAACGTAGTAAAACTTTGCAGACTATAGAGGCACTGTGCGGGGATACTAAGCCTAATGATTCTGACCCCTCTACCACACGCTCAGCCAACCACGACACTCAACAGTCTATCCAAAAATCCCAAAGTCCTACACCACTAAGCCTCTAACCCTCAGCCCTTACAGGAACCCTGCAGGGAAGCCTTAAACTCAAAGACTCCCAACCCTAAACCCTAAACCAAAACCCTAAACCAAAACCCAAAACCCAAAACCCTAAACCCAAAACCCAAAACCCAAAACCGCTCAACCCCTGTCGAGGCAGCTATCTGCTCGCAGAGCGACTTGGCGCTTCGGCTTGGCACCTGCGGTGTTTGGTCCGGGCTCTACAGGGCTCTATACTTTATTACAAACCTATATCTATATCTATATGTATACACATATATATATATATATAGATATGTGTACGTATGTGTATATATATATATATATGTATAGAGAGAGAGAGGGCTTTAGGCCTCTCTGGGGATTTGTTACACGGAAGTTAGATGGCTTTATGCATGCTCCGTGGTTCTGTGAGGTTTTGCAAAGGATCAGAGACGGTTCTGAAGGGTCTTCTTGTTGGCAGCATTTGGGGATTTCCGAAAATAGGGGACCCCAATATAGTACCCTCAATAGTAGGATCCTCAATATAAGGACCCAAAAAAAAGTACCCCCCTTATTTTCGGAAACTCCAATTATCCTTGATGATAAATTCAGATCCAGCGTTCACGCTTAGGGTTTTGACTTTAGGGCTGAAATCCCCAAGTTCACGTCTACGCAGACAGCAGAAGTCAACGGAAAAAGCTGTACTCGGTAGCCTACACAAACACTGAATCTTCATGAACCTTAGGAAAGCCCCTTATAATAGTGTAATGGGCCCGAAAACCCTGTGAAGGCCCCTAAACCCTAAACCCTTATAGTAGCCCTTATACATAGAACCCTTTTAGGAACCCTTGAAAGGAAGCCCAAAAACCTATTTTAATTATTAAGGCCCCTAAACCCTTTATAGAATCCCTTAAGGAAACCCCCTACATTCCCTATATTACCGGCTGCCTTCAGGGACCATCCTGCTCTCTGCCAGGGCGATCTGCCTCACATGCGCTTCTGCTGGGGGAGGGTTTCGGGTTTCGGCTTTTGGGAGCTTTTGGGTTTAAGGTTTAGGGCTTAGGGCTTTGGGGTTCTAGGGGCTTGGTTCAGGGTTTCGGGTTTAGGCTTTGGGTTTTAAGGTCTTAGGGTTTAGGATCTTTAGGTGTTGGGCTTTAGGGTTCAAGGTTCCGCGATGTTAGGGTGCCCAGAACCTTATTATTGAGTCAGGGATCTCCTCGGATTCCTTTCAAGGGGGTCTTTCAGGGTTACTAAAAGCGGCTTCTAGGGTTTTACATATAAAGGCCGAAATAGTTAGAACCGCGGTTTGGGGGATACTACCAGGTACTGCAGTAGCGAGAACACACAAAGTATGCTTTCTCGTGTGTGGCCTGATTTCTCCAGTCTCGAGGTCAGTAGGATTTTCGGATCAGGGGCTGGTTTAGTTCATGTAGGGACCTTAATGATTAGAATAGGTTTTTGGGGGCTCCTTATTAGAATTATAGTAAAATATATACCCCCAGCCCTAGTCTAATTAACAAAGGCCTCTAAAGTCAAAAAAACACTTAGAGTGAAGAAGTTTAGGCTTTCAAGTTAGGGGCAAAGGTTGAAGTTGCGGCCAGAAACTGAAGTCCTGGCCCTTCCCTCTTGGGGCCCTCCAGCGTCTCATGAGATCCTCCAACAGTCCCTCTGCCTTAAACCGTCAGCAGGAGAGCCCCACAGCGATGTTGTCATGAAAGAATTGCATTCTGTCACTGCCTACAAGGCCTACAAGCATTGGGGCCCTGGATTTAGGAGCCAGGGTAAAGTAAAGGTCCGGTTAAATAGTTCAGGCGGGGTTTTGCGGTCGCCACATGGAGTTAGCCTCCAAACTGCTCGCCAGAAGGCCAGATACCAGGACCACACAAGACGTCATAACCCGAGATCACAACCCCACGAAAAAACATGCTACTGATAACAACAATAATAACAACAATAATCGTAACAATACCGCAATTACAATAGTTACATCAAGTCAGCACATCCCAATGAGTCTCGCCCGCGACAGGCCGTGGCAAATCTAGAGAGCAGCTTGAAACTAGATGCATGGGCGGCACGGGCCCCAACCAGGGTGCGAAAGGTGCTGCCGCGCCTCCGCACGGGGAGGGTTCGGGGTTTAGGGTTCAGAGCTTCCCAGGACGACTACCGTTTGGGACTTGCTTTAAACTAAATTATCCTAGCAGTACTTGCTTTTGTGGGCTCTGACTATAGACCCTGATGCAGATTCTATTGGACCCCACCAAAAAAGGTGTTGGTAGTTCAAGGTGGGTTGTACGGACTGTCAACCGGCTGGACTCTAAAACCTGACCATCGTGTACCGCACAGGGACAGGGAATTGCCCAGCAAGCTATACTGCCCCCAGAAACCCAGTGCATAATCTTACTTTACGATGGTTACATATTAGAGACGGTGACTAGGCAACTGGAGTTCTAGGGTTCCTTCAAATGCCGAGTGGCCTCCTGTTAGCTGCAGCGGCGACGCGGCCGCGCCTGGCAATGTGCAAGCTTATCACAGCACCTGGTTTGGGATCGAGGGGTCGTTCAAACTTAAAGCCCTAAACCCCGAGCCGTGCGGGACTCTGTTCCTTGGCAATTAACTAAATGTCTCAACAAGAGCCTCACGCGGACAAGTGAGAAGGCAGGGAGGCATAAAACCCCGTAGCGAGATGGTTCAGAAGTTAGGGTTTAGGGTGGGTAGCTCCAATGATACAAAAAAACTCCTTTCTGGCTTCCGTGCAAGTACACTGCACCCTTGCGACCCAACACAATAGAAACCCAACCTAATAAATCTGTGATATAGTATTCCTTTCCTCGGGCTCCCTTGGTACGTTCATATTATAACGTTATATGTGCCCCAGTGTCCCCTAGTCGGTTTGCACACGTCATAGCGTTCGATTACTGTTACCCATGCACCCTAGGCAGATTATTCTAGGTTGCCCCGAAAAGCCTGAATCATACGTGTACCTTGTACCCGTTGTTTGTTCGTCAGCTTTCATCAGGAAGCTACCACAACTTGGTAAAAGGGTACTACTGAGGGTACACCCTACGAAAAGCTCCGTTTTACTGGAAGGGCTGAGGATGAACAACTCAGCAGGCCTCAAACCCGAAACGGGTGTTTAGGGTGTGGGTTTGGTACAAGCCGAAGGAAAAGTCTTTGCTTCCAAATACCGAAGCCTTATGGCGTGAACCCCAAGTCCTGAACCCGACTAAACGACTACATCCCAGACCCTAAACCCTGTACTACCCGCCTTCGCCCTCCTGAATTTCACGCACCACCTCTCCCGCCGGAACTTTCCTAGGAGAAAGCAAGGTGTTGAAGGGCTTTGTAAGGATATTCGTGGCTCCGGAGAGACCTCAAAACTCTGAAAAGTTTCGACAGGTCGAATTCAAAGGCTTCGTGCTACAAGTTGCGGGGGTTAAGATGCACACAGGGGAGCCTGAAGACGCAGGACTCAGATGCTTGCGTAAATCTATGCGCATATACAGGCAAACAGTTTGCTGTGCAGATGTTCAAAAGTTTCAACTACTTAACTTAGTTATCTATATGTTGATCTTATGACACTCCTATATAGGAGGTTGCGCAAAAGAAAGCTTCTCAACACCATGAGAGAACCGCCCTCTCGATCGAAGCTTCTGGCAGCGGTGGTTGAATGCGTCGGCCAGAGGAACTAAAGCCTGCACGGAAGGATTCGGGTGGGCTCGGGGTCAAAAGGGCTGTTCGTTTAAACTTAAAAATTTCAGTGGTCGAGGGGCTCAATGGGGGTTCAGTGTTTGGCGAGGCTAAAGGGGTTCAGGGCTTTAGGGTTTAGGGCTCAAGGGATTTAGCGCTTTGGGTTTGGAGTGTACGAGGTTCTACGCAGGTGTGATGTGCCCTGCACTGAACCTCATCTGCAAGGCTAGCCTTGCATCCATACCCAGGGGCCCCCATAGTAGTTCCTTTTTGTGGCATATATATATATATATATATATATATAGATCCTATTAGGTAATCCCAACAAGGAACTACTATGGGGCCTGTGGGCGGACACCAGTTTGCAGACGGAGCTGGGTCCCCGAAGGCTACGGCTACTGCAAGCACTTGGGTTCTCTATTGCTGCAAGCCCACAGACCCACAAGCCACGCACTGCGCGAGTCCCGGGAGTTCAAGCATGCACTTGGGAGCTTCACGACGGTCAGACGGGTGCGTTGAGACACGGACCTGAATCTACACTTTATCATTCGTGTCAAGAATCAAGACATGTGTTGCAGCATTAGACATACACCTAACCACACACAGGCACGTTCACTTTTGGCGAAGGTGCATGGACCCTCAACCTTCAACACCAGCTCTCATCGAAGTCTCTCTCGCGTGGGCTTAAGGTTTAGTCATAAGGACCCTAGGGGGGGTAGGGGGCCTGAATAATTGTAATAAGGACCCAGTAAGGCCTATTTAGAGAAGTATAGTCCCCCACCCCCCTCCTCCTTACCGCCCTAAGGGTGCCTTTGATTTTAGGGTTCTACACTTGCTCTCTTCCCCTCCTCCAAGTGGTAGTCATCCACAGTGAAAGCCTTCGCTGACAGGGCTTTGAGAGCAGTGTTTTTGAGGCACCATGCTGCAAGGACCGTATGGATCTTCGTGAAATAGAAACCTTTGTTTGCAATTCGTCACGGAGCAGAGTTTTGGGGTTGGCGGTTTAGGGTTAAGGGTTTAGGGCTCCGGGGTTTTGGGGCTCAAGCTCTAGGATTAAGGTGGCAAGCTCCTCTGAACGAGTCCTTCAGGCACCCTGGATTTGAGAAGTGAGTCGTGCTTGCGATCTCTCTATGATTTTTTGCAGCCTCTGCAACGACCTCCCCTACACTTCAAAGCTTGCCAAAGCTTCCATGTTGACTAAAAAACCCGAAACCCTAAACCCAAGAAACGAAGAGCGTAAGTAGCCAAGGCACCCGCGACGTGGCGAGGGTCGCCGCCTGCAGGTAATTCTCCCTCGAAATAGTGGCCTTCCATTGGCTTCTGGTTTAGGGCAGTTTAGGGCTCGCAGATTCAAGGTTTATTCAGGTTTAGGGCATATAGGTTCAAGCCTGCTGCAAAAGCAAAGTGCTTGTTGGGATTTGGGTAGACAGACAAGTGGGGTTGAAAAATAACACCGTGTAAATTTCCCTATCCCGAAATTCGGTTATCTTTTTTGTATTTCTCGTCATCGTTTTACCAAACAAAACCACCAATCTTGATGTTAATACAATTTTAGTACCTCGTTTGAGGTCCAGGTTGTAGTACAGCTTGAGTACTTTCAATGCCTCGTTTGGGGTCCAGGCTGCAATGTGCCGGGTTGTAGTACACCTTTAGTACTGGAAATGCCTCGTTTAGGGTCCTGGCTGAATTGTGCTTGGTTATCATAGTGCAACTTTAGTACTGGAAACGCCTCTTGTTGGCTCCTGGCTGGATTGTGCTTGGTTGTAGTACGAATTTAGTACTGGAAATGCAAAGTTTGGGGTCCTGGCTGGATTGCGCTGGGTTTTAGTACACTTTAGTACTGGAAATGCCTCGTTTTGAGTTTTGGCACCTGGCTGGGCTTTGCCATAATTATGATGTTGTCGTTTTATGTGTTTTATTGTCATCGTTTTTCCACGGAAAATGATTGAACAAAACAAGCAGGGACAGGCCAAGACTAAACACTGAGGCGCGGGGTCATTATACAAGCCTAAGTACCTCCAAGCCAACCCTAACTTGTCAACAAACCCTCAGTGACCCAGGGTTCGTACACCTATAGGTATTATAGTTATTGACCTTACAGTGAACAGTAATAATTATCACCATGCCGTAATGAGCATAAGAAACAGAATAAGCATTACCATAATAACCATAATCACCATAGCCATAGTCGTCACACTTATCATGGTTTGCTGTTGTACTTACCGCCACCATCACCATTACCATCACCATCACCATCATCATCATCATCATCAT